TCAGATAATAGATGTCTCAACATTGGTGGATATTTTTTTACCTTAATCTCTCTCTGACTCATCTCCCTTTCCCTCCCTCCCCCCACTTCACAAGAGCGTTGTGGAAATAAATTCATGTTTGTGTAGCACTGAGCTACTGTAGTGATGGGTGCCATAGACAAGCCCATGGGGACATTAATAATTCTGACTTCAAAGCGAGGTTTGAATTGTGTGCAGGGGTTTGACTAATGTGCAGTAAATGAGCCCTAGGGTCATACATCGAACAATGAGGAGAACACAAAATATTGAATAGCTGCTCATTAAGTGAGCTCCATACATTCTATGCCCTAAGTAAAGCAGAAGTCTATGGAAAAAATAATATGCAGTCATTTAATTAAAGATTGTCTCATACTGCATGCACATAAGGAGATGAATTGAGGTTGCCCTGGGCAACCATAATTCTTGCATTTTCTAACTTTGGCATGTTTGACTTTGCAGCCTTAACATTCTTTTAATGGAGGCTGAGGATATATGTATAAAAATAGGATATGAAAAATGTCTCAATGGAGGAGCTTGCATTAGTGTAACTTTATTGGTACTATATTTTTAAGTTATAGTAGTTATTAAAATATTTATAAACCCAATGCTTCAAAACTGACAATCATTGGGCTTGAGCCTTTTTTCCTTGTATAAAGAATACAGGATCAGCACCTGCTATTTCTTTCCCCATTATATTCATTAATCCTGTTTCTCCCACTGATATATCCTCAAGATTTGTGTGGCGCTAAAACAGCTATTCTCAGTAGCTGAAATTACATTGATTCAAATTGACTGAATTTCATCAACTTCATCCGTACAAACTGGAAACGTTTTTTTTCAGTGTTTAAATACTGTTAAAACATTGCTAAATGCTTGATTCTGTTGTTTCCATCTTTATGCGCACAACAACAAAATAAATGTAACATATTAAGGCCTTGGGTTTCTTGGTGGTTTCCAGTATTGCCAACTCCAAGCATTCAAAAATGAGTCAGGCCCCCAAAATAATTATTAAAAAACAATTGGAGGGTTTCTTTTTGCTTGTCTTCTGGTTTCCAAATGGTGACACTGTGGTCACATTTTCAAGCTTTACTCTGCAACAAGGAGGACTAGAAACTTAATTTTTGTTTTAAATAAAAGCTGAGTTGCTCATCTATTCCCTGGACTCCAGGATCTATGACTGAAGAACAACAAATGTTGCCAGATTCCCAATAAAACCATGACCGTTGGGAACATGGTGTTTCATGTCAGTGATAGAAATGCAGGAAAGTATGTTTTTAATACCTCAGCTATATTATATAAGAAGGTGTAATTGCACATCTTGGGTTCAAAATCCCTTCCCCTCACAAAGAGTTGGTGTTCTCTTGATTTTTTTTTTCTTATTGCCTTGTACTAGGATGAGAGAAATTTTATTTAGACCCTGATACTCTGAAGTCTGGCCAGAGCACCTGTATGGAGTTCCATTGACTGTTATAGGACCCGGCACAGTAGTAAGTGTCCACCACATGGATCAGCTTGTAGGATCAGGCTGGAATTTGTGAAATTTCATCCCCGCATTTAAAAACACCTGCTTTTGTACCCCTAATTTTTAGCATAATCTTACATTTCTAAAAGTTTTACATTCAGTCGTTTGGTAGTTTGAGAGGGATAGTTAAACCTGTTGATAAATTCATTTTTCAGACTTGGGGAATTGTGGAGGTAATTAGCTAAACATGAGCTCCTAGTACAATGCTGTGGCCAAATGGGCAAATGTGAGTCATAGGCTACACCTACAGTTGGACCTGGGGGTGTGATTCCCAGCTTGAGTAGACATACTTGCGCTAATTCTCATGGCACTAACACACTAAAAATAGTAGTTTTAGCCGTGGTAGCATGGGCAGCAGTGAATGGTGTTGAAATGGATCTTTTAATGGTCCACAGTTGGGCAGGGGTTTACCGGTACCAGTGAGAATTTGGAAACCAGTATGCTTAATGCACAGTCATTTATTTGAGAGAGAATCACACAGGCAGTTAAAGTTACATGGTGTACATTCTTTTCCATAAACCTCAGTTTCCTGAGCATTAAACCCTCAGTAACTATGTTGCCTTACAACAGGCCTGCACAACATACGGCCCGCTGGCCACAGGGTGTTGAAGTGGCCAGTGGCAGGCTGGGGAGTGAGGGTGAGGCAGCAGCAGAAGGTAAGAGGCTAATGGCAGGCAGGCAGGTGAGCTGGCGGCGGGGGGAGCAGGCGACCCGGCGGTGGACAGGCAGGTGAGCTGGTGACGGCGGCAGCGGCGGGGGGGCTGAGGAGGCAAGTGGGCAGCGGGGGCTGAATAGGCGAGCCGGGGGTGGGGGGATGATGAGCCGGGCGGGCAGTCGCGGGGGAGGGGGAGATCTTTATACTTGGGAGGTGGGTGAGGAGGCGAGCGGCAAGTCGTTGGCTGACCTGTTCTACTGATCTTGTCTCTCATAAAAATTGGTCCTTTTTGCTGCTTTTCTCTGGGCTGGGGGTTGTCCCAGTGCTGCAAAGAGGGTGTTCCCAAAGGAAGGTGCTTGCTTCTAACCCCGGAGGCCAGCAGTATGTCTGCTCTTCTCTAGTCAGCCCACTTGACAAGTTTGATTGTCCATGGTCTGGCTCCCATCCCCTCTCCAAGGTTGCAGCTGTCTGGAGGTGCCTGCCTTCCACGTCTTCCTCATTCACACCTCATTCATTTAACAGGGGAACTGATTACAAAGTGGGGGGAAGATCTTATTCTACTTCTAGCAAAAAGACATTTTTCTTTTACCTTAATTATACTCCCTTAGGGGCCCGCTAACATATTACCCAGGTTCAATACCACTGTTTCGGCGGGGTGGCGCTGGGGAAGGAGGGTTTGTTTCCATGGGGTGGGCGGCGCTGGGGGAGGTGTTGTTTCCATGGGGCCAGGCGGTGCTGGGGTGGGGGCGGTGTTTGGGGGGGGGCTGGGTGGCGCTGGGGGGGGGGGGGTAGTGTTTTGGCAGGGGCCGGGAGGGTTTGGCCCTCAGCTGTTTTTTTTGGAGTAATATGGCCCTCACCACTTTACGAGTTGTGCAGGCCTGCCTTACCCAGTATCCTGATTGGCAGACAAAGCAGATATATCTACCAGCTCTAGATGGAGACTACTTCCCTTTCTTCTTTCCCCTCTAAGGCACTTGGTCTGTCCCTCAAAGCAGACAACCTCTGATTCTAAGATCCCTCGAGGCAGGGTCTCGGTTACCCCGATGACTTCCATCTCACAGACTCAAACCTCTTTGGATATTAATTGGGGAGTTGATCTGATTTCATTCACTTTGCTTAGCATTTATATACCCTTTTGTTCTCAAAGGAATCACATGTTCCAGAAATATGCCTTGTAGGTGTTTATTACTGGTTTTCTTCATAATTTTGGAGGGGACTGCAAAGCAAACACACAAACAGAACAAAGCTCATCCATAGTTTACCCTCTCATAAATCATTCACTCAAGCTCTTTGAGTGAGGTTATCCAAAAAGGGTCATTTTGACCCATGTCAGCCATGTCCCCAAGCCTACTGCTCGCATGATCTTCCGTGTTCTTTACTTTGTAACCAGGTTCTCTGCTGATATATTCCAAAAAAATTCGGGATTAAAACACACATGCCCATCAAGCCATTGTTAACCATTCCAGTGCAGTTTCAGCACCTCCAGTAGTATTCCACTCCCTTTATCTAATGCTAAGAGAATCCTGCTCCCAAAATCCTCTAGCAGGTTCAAACATACCAAGCCATACCAAACTCATGCTCGCCACATTTATCCATATCAATCACAGCAATTCATAATAATTTGGCACCATCTCAACAAATGGCAGCATGGGCTAGCTGCCCTGAGTACGAACACTCCCAGACCCCTGTGGGAGTGTACTCAGGGTGACTAGCCCATGCTACAGCTCACCCTGCCTGTGCTACCGCAGCTACACTACTATTTTTTAGCGCACTAGCCTAATGACAGACATGAGTATGTCTACTTGAGCTAAGAATCACACCCCCAGCTCCAAGGGCAGCCATAGCCTTAGATGCATAAACAGGGGGATCTGGCATTGGAGCAGACAAGTTACAGTACCGCTGGCAGTGGTGTAACTGCTGCTGGACTATTGTGTCCTGTTCTGTTGACCCCAATTCAGGAAGAATGTTGGTAAGTTGGAGAGGGTTCAGAGAAGAGCTATGAGAATAATTAAGGGATTGGAAAACATGCCTTATTGTGATAGACACAAGGAGCTCAAACTATATAGTTTAACATAGAGAATGGTAAGGGGTGACTTGATCACTGTCTGTAAGTACCTATATGGGGAACAAATATTTGATAATGAGCTCTTCAATCTAGCAAAGATATAGCTTCCAATGGCTGGAAGCTGGAGCAAGACAAATTCAGACTGCAAATAAGGTGCATGTTTTTAACAGAGAGAGTAATTAACCATTGGAACTACTTACCAAGGGTTGTGATGGATTCTCTAGCACTGGCAATTTTACATTCCAGATTGGATGTTTTTTCTGGAAGGTATGCTTCAAACAGGAATTAATTCAAGGAAGTTGTGTGGCCTGTGTTATACAGTAAGTCAGCCTAGATGATCACAGTGGTCTGTTCTGGGCTTACAATCTATGAAGCTATTGTGTGCATAACTGTGTATTCACTTTTACACTTCCATAACTACATACAACCAGGTAATGACAGCAGAGTTGGCTGAATAATCAAAGCAATTGAAAACACTGTATGTGAAATTGTTCTTCAATATGTTACATATTCATGAATTAACATTCAATTAAAATATTATGAGTCATTCTCCAACATGAGGAAGTTATGAAACAAGTCCATTTATTTTTAAATTTTCACAAATTTCATCCAATTTAATGATTAGACAAATGTTATTCAACAGAATCTTGATCAATAGATATGTACTCGTAGAATGACACATACCAGGTGAAGTCTGGGTTTCACATACATTTATGTAGCTGTTATGAAATTCAGTGTAATTGAAAACAGAACTAGGACCATCAAGTTCATTAAACTGCCCATTTCAGTGTATGGTGAGGAAGTTCCAAACACTCAGCCATAGGAAATTGGTCAGTTTGCAGGTAGACATTTATATGAAAAATAATTGTAATAACTACATTTTTTTATACTAACTGGGCAGGGCGACCATTTATAACCTACATATTTCAGGAGAGTAAGCAAATTACTCCCTGCATGGAAATTCCTTCCCTAGCTACTTTATTGTGAAGTTGGTCATTAAAGAGGTTGTTCATTTTCTTCAGACTGTAGTGACTAATGTCAGAGAGAAGATACTGACTGGATGGACCATTGGTTGGAACCAGTATTAGTGAGGCCATTAAGGTAGCTGTGCTAGGGAGGAGGGAAGGCCCCTGGGAAAGTAGGCTGAGTTGTGTTGTCTATCTGATGTGAGTCTTCTCCCTATTGGGAACCAAACACCACCTCCCAGCTTGCTTTCTCATGGCTTGTCTACACAGAGAGTTTGTACGTGGCAAGCCAAGGCTGTGAATCTACAGTGCACTAGCTTGCTGCACATTAACTGGCTGTGTGGACCTTGCTACTGTTTGCTAAACATTCCATAGTGCGCTTTCAATACTTCTGTTTCAGTGCATGCTAGGCAATAACTTTCCATGTAGACAAGTTCTCAGTGAGAGTTTGTTTCCTCCTGCTCGTTAGCCCTGTTTCCTCCCTCAGTCCAGGAAGCAGCCAGGGAGGGTGTCATGTGACTGCAGAACAAGGGGGGAGGTGCGCAGCAGGGTAACAATCTGCATTTCTTGGAAATAAAAGCAAACTGTATGAAAAATACAGGACACTTCTTTTTAAGGAACATCACCTCATGGTGGTTTATTCATGGTACAAAAATATACATTGACATCACAGTGTAGAACCCTTTGCATGATTATTGCTTAAACTATATATATTTGTATCTGATAAAATGCTTAGCCTTTTTAGGTATGGGTGGAGGACCATCTGACATCCCTTAAAATAAAGGATTGGTGGTTACATTGGGATGGGGTATTCTGGCACACAGCCGAGAGCACTGCTCGTTAAAGAGTGGATTGGCTGCTGCAAACAGGTGGGTGGGGAGAGTCAGGCTGGCAGCCTGCTCAGATATGGGGGATAAAGGGCCATAGTTTGGAATATGAAATCAGAGAAGGGTTAATTCTGAAGGGAGAGGGAAAGAATTATCCTGGAATATGGCATGAGCTACATACTGGGTTGGGGCAAATGCTCAGGTTGAGCATATACATCATCCTTCTGTTCCAAGGGCTGTACACTGTTTTTTTGGATTTAAACATGCATATTTCAATGTATCGCCTGACCATGGATGCAAATGTCCCCCTGAGGATAGTATAGTTGGAATATTTGCCATATATAAACCGGCGGAACATACCTTTTAGCATGGCTTGAAGAAATCTTTTCAATGTATAGGCTGGGTAGTTCTATGTAATTTAAAATATTTTGATTCTTTCCTCAAAATAACCACTAGTTATACTTTCTCTGTGTATTGTGAGGGTGTGACCCAGACAATGCATCACTAAGGATTGCACAGAAGTGTAGTTGTGTAGCCATGTAACAATTTGATGGGGGGTGGGGGGGAAATCAAGCGTACCATTAGCAGTTGCACTATAACAACATTTTGATGTGATTCTTGTCCATCCTTGAACAAATTCTCCAATGTTTCATCGGGCATTCAGTGTTCTGTCACACTTTCTAATTTATGGCTTCTTAGCAGTAATTTAGGTTACTATTCCAGGGCTTGATCCTGGAGCATTTAAACAAGTAGTGCTTGCTGAAGTCAATGAGCTTACTCCATTTTCATGAGAATATTTGTCTGAGAAAGAGTTCTCAGGATCAGGACCCATTTACATGTTTGTAATTAAATGCAATCCTTGAGCACCCATATAGGGACATCACTAAGGGGAAGTGTCTGTGGAATGTCTATTTCCATACATCCTAGAGTTACATATAGGTGATAATTTCTGGATATCTGCCAGAAGCTTGTAGGATTTCACCAATATAGCAACATTGAAGCATGGCTAGATAACAGAAGTTTAATCAAGCCATTGAGTTAATATATTTACTTTATTTAAAAAATAAATCACATAGACAACTCCATTGGATGAGGTTTATTTTGCAGAGATTTGGCAGGCAATTTCACATTCCTCCACAACCTTGGTATAGACTTGGATAGCTGACAGTGATGGACTCTTTAAAATTAAGAGAGAAACGTAGCTAGTGTAATGGGATGATAGGTATGAAAGTAAATACTGCCAGATCCTCAGCTGCTATAAATCAGTGGGGCTATGCTGATTTACATTAGCTGAGGAGCTAGTCTTTTCTCTTTAATATTGTTTAATGTCGTGGAATAATTTGTTTATAGGCATATTATACATAATGTATCATAAATATTATGGTCAGTATTCAGTAATATGGCTGTTTTGGGTGGCCAATGTATATTAAAGTAATCCCAGATTAGTTTTAACCTATGCACCTCTTCCTTTCACCTTTCCTTTCTTTCTTCTAGAATAAATCTAAGAGGTGTATACTGTGGGCAAGTTCCACTCTTTGTTATGTAATTAGAACTTCCCAGAAACATACAAGATATTGAGGTAGGTTTTTTTTTCTTCTTCTAATTGGAAAAAAACTGAATCACATAATGTGGCTCTCATTTAAATTAGGCAAAAATTTGAGCTACAGAACATGGCGTATGAAGCCACGACTACTGTGTTTTTCTACAGGTTCTGAATTGGCAAGCAAGTTTATATTAGCGGCACATATCCAGTCTAAAGCCTCAGTCAGCAAATGGCAGACAGTAGCAAATCTTAATTCTTTTAAAGTGCTAGGAATTATTAATTATAAACAGAAAGTGCACATATTGGAAAGGGATTAGAGAATATCTGTTGTTTTACATTACTACTGGTTTAGAAACAAGCTACTTTGAATGCTAGGGTTCTAGGCCTTTTACATTGACACTGTGTGTGCTTATTGTATTTATGTTGTTTGCTGTGCAGTTTCAATGGACCAATGAATTCCTTTGTGGCATAATTCTTTTTGAAGCTAATCAACGACAACATTGCAAAAGTAATTCAAAAAGCAATTCAAAGGTGCAGTATAGACTAGTCGTAGCAGGATGGGTTATTTGTTACTATAGAGACTGATTACAGTAGAATTGATTATTGTGGATTATTGAAAGATAATCTTCTGAAACATAAGGTAAAGACAAGCCAAATACCAGCTTTGTTGTTGCTCAGATGTCCATATAAAATAACACATTTGCTGTTTTTCCGTGTTGTTCCACTAGTAGCAGAGTGGAGAGAAAGAAATAATGTGACGAGCATTATAAATAAATTATTCAAAATTAATGTACATAGCTGCAAATAATCACTGTTTATATATAATAAACACTAACTTATATTAATGTGTTAATAATTTCTGTGCTAGTTATAAGAAAACAGTGCTATACTTTTGTGTTATATAAAGCTTTCAATGAAAATCATCACCAATAAAATGACTATACCAAACACTGCAATAGTGTTATTCAGGATATGATGACACACAGTGACAGATTGATTGTTAGCACAGCCGGGATCATACATAAAAAAGAATTTTCATAGGGCAAATTGAGACTCATTTAACCATTGATCCTACAATGTGTTGCACATGGGTATATCCCTGCTCATGCCTGGGGGTCCATTGGCTTCACTGAGGCTCAGCTCAAAAGCAGAGGTCTATCCATGTGTAACACGTTACAGCAATGGGGCCTTAAAGGCCTTAAATCACCCATATTCAGGGGGCCTATGCACCACTTAAGCCTCCAAAATACAGAGTAATTGGATTAAGTGGTGTAGCAGCCCTATGCTGGTTTTCTACACGGGGTGAATTTCATCACTTTGAAGGTAAAAATATCTTTACTTATATCTTAGGGCTCATCCATTTGTACAGTTCAATTGCAAGACTGTTTGGGTAAACCCACAACTGCCAGAGCTTAGTTCTATTTTTACTGAGAAAGAAGCATCCAATGTGCTGTAGATATTATCTGTTGATTATAGATGGCCCAATTCTGTGAGGTGCTGAGCAACTTCCAGCAATTCAGCATCTTGCAAGCCCCTCACAGGATCAGGACATAAATCATCCTAGGGAACTAAATATTGGTACTGGTGTTTTAATTTGCAATCAGTTTGCATTTGGATGTGCTGCTGGTTGGGAGTGACTTCGCAAACCATTCCTAAAAACATACTATAGAATGGTCAAAAAATAAGCAGAAAAATTTGAAGAGGTCAGCAAATAATTTCCTAAAACTTCCAGCCAGCTGGACATTAATTTGGGGGCAAACAAATAGCTACAACCAACAATACCCCAAAAAGAGCAAGAGATTAATCTTTTAAAAATTATTGCTATAGTTAGCAGCTCATATCATCACCAACATAAACAATTTCTGTAGTTTTAGAATTAATACAAATATTTCAAAATACCAGATCTCAAAAATGTTCTCAATTTTAATTACAGACCTGCTCACCAAAATATAGACCTTTCATATAATATACGATTTATTGTGTCTAGCAAATGAGTTTTTTTTATTATAATCAAAAAATATATTTTAGCACTTGAGACTTAAAAGGGATTTTAATTCCTCAGATAACCCACACTAATGGCTGTTTCAAGGCTTATATGTGTGTAGAAATGATAAACATGTAAGCTTCCAGTTTGAAACAGGCAAGTGAAGAAACCTTTGACAATACTAAATTCACTGATGGTCAGGCTACTGAAACTATCTTTATGCTACTTTATCAGATTTATCATAAAATATTACATTGTTTTAAGTGAAAATATTTGTTTTAAATAAGGCAAGACTTTTTGTAGTAATTTAAATAGTGAATTTCTTATGTGACTAATGTAGGGTGGTCTTGCCTCCCTCATTGTGATACAACTACACACTATAAGCAATGTCATTACACAGCTAAGCATCCTCTAAGGATGAAATCACTGAAGGAAGCTGTGATATACTTTATACTGTTAATCATATTATATACTACAATAGAAGAGAACTGGTTATTTACACAGCGGTTTTTACATTACAGATTTCGATGTAAACAAAGATGAGTCAAGCACCTTGATAATGCATTGACCAGCTTGTTCATCTGGAAAATGTTTCATCACTGTTAGTTCATTATAAGCCTGAAGTGAGTGAAGGACAACATGAGGCACCTGTTTTTAAGGTAAGAAATTATTCAGTTGCCAAAATGTCAGTGTGGTTTCAAGTATGTATGAATATGTTCTGTTTAGCTCATAATTTATATTAAGTCAACTGTACAATAATATATGCCCAAAAGATATGAGATGCTTTTAAGGTTGTCCACAGTTAAGGAATTATAGAATACAGTGAGTATTTAATGTTTTCAAAGACATCTAAGCTGTTGAAAACCAAATATTTTTCTAGAGTTTCATGTAATTATTTTCATGAACCAGTTTCAACATAGTGTATATTTTAACATATAACAACAACAACATTCTGATAAGCTATTAAAACCTCTTAGTCCTGTAGAGATGGCTGGAACTGTCTTGGAAAAGCTCAAGCATCAGTGATTGTGGGAAGTAAATATATGCCAGGAGAGGATGGCTAATGATTAGAAAGCTATGATAGCTGAAATCTTTATAGATCTAATTCAGTGGATCATTCCTTTTAATGATAGTACGAGTTAGGGAGAGAACAGTCCTTGCATAGTGTTTGAAAGGATCTCAGCCCATTAACTGAAAAAGCTGAAACTTATTTTTGTGTTTTAATAAAATAAAATAAAAATTTTTCACCAAACGAGATTCACTGTAGAAGGCCAGGACCTGCCTAGCTGCACTTCCTCCCTTCCCCACCCTCTTCATCTCTTGCCCATGCATGGAACACAGCTATGGCTAGGCCACATAGATGGTTCTCAGTATTGGACCAGCTACCCCTGGTTCCTTTGTCCCTGTACCACAGGGTAGCGGTGCCTTCTCTTTTCTCTTCTGGTCTGTTAATCTCTCTAGGCTTTTATACCATTTTCATCACTGGTAACTATGGATGAGGTGTTTAGATACCAACATTTCAAAAAGCCTTTTTGGACAATTTTGAGAAGGAGCCAGGGTTCTAGAGGCTTCCAGGGGTTAAAACAGGGCCACATGCTCATTTTGGGAAGCAGTACATGAATTTGATATGATTATCTCAATCCTCCAGGCTTCATGTGGTTGAGAGTTCAGCTAAGCGTTCAGAACCCACAGAGGCCCTGTCCTTCTCCAAACAAACTCCCATTCCTCTCAGATGCCCCTCTTAAGTGTATTTGGCTTCCTGAGGAGAGGCCCAGTGTCTGGCACTTCCTAAAACATACTATGGAATGGTCATGGAGAAGCAACAGGAACGTCTCTCTGCTATCTCCAGAGGATATCTCCCCCATTCTCTCCTTTTGGGTGACTTCCAGGCTTCTCCCATTTGTATTTCTCCTGGACATTAGGGAAGTTGTAAGTTCCCATACGTCAAAATCACCCTGTGTGCTTTGAGCTCTTGATGAGCCCATGTGTGCTCCCTGCCACCCCCAGCATGCCCCTAGTTGTTCTATAGGCCCATGTAGCTTTTGAGATAATCAGACATGCATATTTCTCCTCCTAAAAACAGTTTTAAAGAGGAGGACTCAAAAAGGGCGGTGTAATAACCTGAAAGGAGTGGTGAGGCTTACTTGCCACAAAGTTATGACTACTATAGGAACTTAAGTATATAGACTGAGATTCTTAGTGAAGCATTTCAAGTATTCTCCCTCATCTTTTCACGTTCCCTCACACTGGAATGAATAGCTCCCATTTTTCCTGTAACAGGAGTTGTTAAGGGTGTCAGGATCAGTACCATAACCTGCCTTGCAATTTAGGGAGTCCAGCTGGGGGTTGATGATGCTTTTTCAAACAGTTAGTTATATGGCAGTTCAGTTCCAATCCATCTTCAATTATCTATGTTAAACAAAAATTTAAAAAAATGTCTGTAACCCTGTAATACCTTAAGCATATGAGAGTCATTATTTGAAAGATATGTCGTACAACAGGAGGCTCTTTATGTCAAGGCTGTGTTACTTTGGCTCACAAATACTGTACACAGAACATTGTCCAAATACCTTTCGTATAGGACTAGTATTTCACTACAGCACTTCAACTGTGTGGCTAATAAAACAGAGCTAGTGTTTGAATGTTGTAGATCGGCAATGGTGAGGGTCCCATTTTCACACAGAGTCTACCTTCACTTGATTGTTGTTCGTAATCAGTGGTGAGGGTTTGGTTTTCATCCTATCTGCTGCATCGTTAGAACTATCCTGAAAGAAAACTTTTGCTGTACAAATTGTGACAATAATTCTCTTGTATTCTCTTCTGAAATTCTGGTTCAGGAGTCCATATATGATAGCATTAAGGCAGCTGTTGAAATATGCCATGTAGTAACTGGATACAAACAACCACTCTGGAATCCTGGGGATTATTGTGTCTGGGTCAACAGCCACAGCCAGGCCTATGAAGTTCAAAGGAGCCCAGCAGATTGCAAACAGTACAAATACCACAAACATGGTGACAAAATTCCTAAAGTCATGTGGCTTCAGCCTGGGCTTGTTGTCAGGTTTAACCCTTCGCCTTACCTGAATAACAAGGATCCATATTCTCAAGTAACAGAAAGTAACTATGGCTATGGGAAGCATGAAATGGAAAAACACCACTGCTATTGTATACGGTGAGCTCACGGATTGTGCAAATGTGCACGAGTAGATCCGCGGATCATATTGTAGCGATCCAACAAACAGATTGGGAACAATAGCAACAAATGTCAGGATCCAGATGAGAATGACGTAGCACAGAGCATTCTTGTCACTATACAGCTTGTCATACTTGAGGCTGTGGCAGATGTAGCAATATCGATTAATAGCAATGCCTGTAATGTTGAATATTGATCCAATAACACTTAGGCCCATCAGGAAACCACTAATTTGGCAATGGAGGTAGCCCAGATTCCATCCATTATGAAATACAGATGTCAGGACCAGTGGGTATGGGTAGATCGCCACTACCAAGTCTGCAATGGCCAGGCTTACAACAAATATATTTCCTGCAAAATAAATATGGAAAAAAATATTTATTTCTCTTTTTTTCTTTTGTTCTTTCTTCCTTTGTGTCTCTCCATATTTTTAACAGCCAGTCTCAGAGGAAAACTATAATTTCTATTAACACCAAACTTTATTTTCATGTATCAGAAATAAGACACTTATTTTTCTTTAAAGAGGAAATGGTTCAATTCTAAGGTGTACCTTTAAAACAAAGATTTTATTGGGTTGAGTTACCATAAAAATTCTATGTTTATTATGTCATTTACTTGGGTTCTCCTACTCGCACAGATCCAGAATTCATGTCTTATTAAAATAGTCTTGCTAGAAAAATGAGCATAAATAATATGATTACTCATATGGTGCCATTTAAAACTCTCATTCACTTTTCACATTTAACTCCATTGCTTTTCCTTAAATTATCCCCAAACTTTTCTACTTCTGAAACTTAAATCTGTTTTCCTGTTTGTATCTCAAGCCTTTCTTGGATGATATTACCTTAATAAATTTTAAAGACTCCAGCTACAATATTGTAATTGTATTAATATTTAGAGAAGTCATCCTTCTGGTATTTCTCAAGTAAAGAGTTTCTAAAAAACTAAAAAAATCCAAATCCAATTTTTCATCCTGACAAATATAGTTTAAAGATCTTCCACATGAACACAGAGCAATCAGGAGTAAGAGTATGTGGCATCAATCTAAAGGTAAAAAAAGCAGATGCAGCAGCAAAGAGAAGTCGCTGAAAAGATACTGTTGACTTTTTAATGGGCTTTGGATAGGGCCCACAATCAAGCAGGTAAATCAGAATCAATCTATTTTAAGTACTTAAACAGCATCCATTGCTGTAGCATCTGAGCACCTCATAATCCTTCAAGTATTTTACAAATGTATGAGTTTATATTGAACTAGTTTATCCTCATGCATTTTTAAAACTAGTCAATCTACATGTTTATTTCCTTCTATATTGCAAGTATGAAGATTATTATTCTCATGAGATATTTACGTCACACACTGTAGGTCACATGTGAGGTCTTATTGCAAATATAGAGACTATCTTCCCTCTAAAGTGCTCAATCCCTGGTCTACTGAGCACACACAGAACTCTTAGTTCTGCTAATCCCAAAGGAATAGTGTCCACCAGGTTGTAAAACTCCACTCGGTATCACCACTTTACTTCACACACAACACTTTGATAATAAACTTATTGTTTTCACTATATCTAACAGAAATTCAAGTGATAGAGAGTCAGAATATTGGTAACAAATGGTTAAATATAAAACAAAATCAACTTGTTTTCTAGTGACTAACAGGGTATTCCCCCATTTCCTACAAGACAGCTTACCCTAAGTCCTTTCCCCAGCATTTTCAACCAATTTAGTTGAGACCCTTGCTTCTGAGATCAAGCCCGCTGGCAGCTTGTCTTCACAGACTGAAGTAATCACTGGAGGTTCCTCTGCACCTTCTAGATATAGTCTCTCAAACCACTGTTTTAGTTTGAGAACAGGATATCATTCTGCACAGCTCATTTTTTCCTGTGTGCTTTTTTCATTGATTTCACATCCCTCCATTAGCATTTGACTCAGTATGTAAATGTGTCGCCACTGTAAAACTTACAATACTTCACTTTCATGTAGCCAGACAGCTAAACATTTCTTACCTCCTGTCTGTTGGAACCATTCTAAAACAGGTCACCTTACTTGCTTTAAGAACATAATTTTTGTACATACATATGTAACTCTTTACATATCACCTGTACACACCTCTCTCAATCATTAAGATGACCAGTATGACACAGGCTTTCATTAGAGACCTTATGTGACACTCTTTCGTGAACTAGAATGTAAATTCCAGACCCAGGGGATCCCTGTAACCCTAATGCACTGCTAATAATTGGTATCAAGAGGTCCCTAGGTCACAATCAGTAACTTACAAAACCTACAGTAATAGGTGTTCATTGTCCAGAAGAACACCTATTGTCACGGACAGAAGTTGGTCCAATAAAACATATCACCTCACCCACCTTGTCTCTCTGGGACCAACACCTCTACACCACATTGCAAATTAAAAACAATGACAAGCAAAACATGGAACCTAAATTCAGATAAAAGAAATTGTGGCAGATTATTGATTATAAGGGATGAAATCCTGGCATTATGGAAGTAAATGGGATATTTGCTATTGACTTCAATGAGGCAAGGATATTTTTTAAACAAGCTGAGAACTATGGGCAATACTAATAATTGGTAGAACTAGTAATGCACAAAACAACCCAACGTGCTCTCTTATCTTTCTATATTTTTTTTAAAAAAAAAGCCAATTTACTAAAAAATTATCAAAAGCAAAGTAAATTTGCTAACACAGATGTGTTTGGGACAACATTTTAGTCAAGTTTTTCAGCATGTAAGCAAGTACCATACTGTTAAACTATAACTGAAAATCAGCTTTAAAATGAAAATACCAATGCGGTAACAGGTCCTTTGCACTGCTGCAATTCTCCATTGTGCTCCACTTCTTTTAATATAATTACATTAATTATAACATTGTAAAAAGCATTTTCTCCCGTTAATCCCATGCTTTAAATGTTCTTAGGGAAATACTAAATCTCAAAACACATGTAGAGATGCAGAAATGTGGAAATTATTTGGCTCAGAACAGTGCGTTTTTTTGTATTTTAATTGTATTCAGTGCAGACACATGATGCCCATTAACTGTTCCTAATAACAGAAGCTGGGATAAATGGCCTTATTTAAAAGATTAAGATATACTGTTTTTATAAGTTTTGTACCTAGTTTTCTAGATGCCTCTCTCTTGTTGATTTCTGAAGTTGTTTCCTCTTTTTGACTGAGGATCCAATGCCATCCTAGAGTCTGCTTGTGATGAAGCCTGTGGCAGAGGTCCTATTAATTTCAGAAGCAGCATGAAAGGAGGAAGTTTGAATAGAAAGAGAAGAGAAATATAAAATCCATTCCCTCTGTTGGTCTTTGCTCACAAAATCTGTCCATGACCCATTGGAAGATTGTTTGCAGAATACTGTAAGTGTGTAAATACAACACTATATAAATTACAGGTGGGGCTGAGTCACTTCCTATTATAAGGCTCTGTTTCATTTGCCCACAACTTTGCCAAACTAACTATTTGGGCTGAAATTTTCCATGCTGGTTTCTTCTGCAGGCTGATTTTTTTTCTTTTTTCAAAAACCTTCAGCCACAATGGTTCAGCCACTTCTAAGAACAAGACTAAGGAAAAATGACTGTTTTGCCCATATTGAAAAACGTTGATCTTTTCTTTGAAAAAAAATGTGCTAGGATCCCCAGACTTTGGAGCTGGGCCTTGAAATTTGGCAGCAGGGGGACTTGTGGTCAAGGTCTTGCCTTTTGCTTTCCTTGTGAAAATCAGTCCAAATTTGCCCAAATTAACAGGCTCTTGAAAAATCAGTTTTCACGTGCTCAGTAGAACATGCTTAGATTTTTAGTCGCTAAATCCCCAAACAATTCTGTCCGCACTGGGCATGCTCCAGCCAGGGGCTGAGCAGAATTCTGCCTATAATTGCAGCTCTGGCCTCCTGTTGGCTGGGCTGAGGTCTGGCAACAGAACTGAGAGCAAGGAGCTTGTCAACCTGTGCTGGTTTGAATTCAGAATTCACAAGAGCTAGACTTCATGGGGGCAGGAGCCAGAGGGGAGACCGGGCAAGGAGGCTGGTGGGAGAGGAGAGAACGCTGTGCTGTAAATAACCCCTGTGGCTACACTCCGAACAAATGCTGAGAAAACAAAATATTAAATAGCTGTTCATTAATTGAGCACCTTCCACTCTGTGCACTGAAAAAATAGTATGCCATCATGCAATTAAAGACTGTATTGTAATGCATAAACACAAGGGGAGTTATTTAAGGTTTCACATGCCATCTGAATTCTGGTGTTTCCTAACTTTTGAGTGCTAGACTTTTCAAACTTAATAATGTTCTTTTAACTTGTAAAGAAGTGTGGAGAAAGTTGCGCTGGGCTGACTAGAGTCACTAGGCTCTGCTTTTAAATAGTCCAAAGAAATGCTCCATAAAATATTGGCAGTGCTGTGAATGCAGAAGAAACCCGTGAGACTGGTCTTAAAAAGTACATGTTCCATATCAGACCAATCTGCCATCTTACAATTTTTACTAAAGAAAAAAATGATCTTCCACACAATTCCACTTTCCCAAAAGGGAAACACCACATAACATTAATGGAATAAATGTGACACAGGGAAGTTGTAGGAAAGACTAATACTATTAATTTTCATGATGCCATTGCCAAAATAGATGGAGAAGCAGCACAGAAGATCCACAGGCTGTTGCACTGACAGTAATTGATCTCTGTGTAATACATAGCATTTGTATGCTTGTAATGATTCCATAGACTCTGTGTTTAGGCTTGATCCTTCAGCACTGACGTTAATCAGAGTTTTGCCTGTGACTTGAATGGGAACAGGATCTTGCACAATATGAGTAGAACCAATAAAGGACAAAATTGCCAATGTTGAACCTCAGACTTAGAATTGAGGGAACTCAGCATCAAGCAGCCACATTAACAGGGAAAAGAGGCCCAAATTCTGCCGACACAACTGAGAGCAGACTTTGGCCTGGAGACCAGAGTTCCCCAAATGTCAAGGGGGAGGTATTACTAGGGGCACAGTTGATTTTCTCTCCGCTGGAAGGAGTGGTAAGAATAAGAAATTTTGGAGGTTTTAGATCTATGATGCAAAATAACTACATTTTATAAGGTTAGTGAGTCCTATTTAAGATTTTGGGATTATGGAAAAACTTTAATTGAGTAGTAGAGTGGGAGGACTGGAGATTTTATTTTAGTGGCGACAGTGATAAGGGATTGCTATTATTTTTCAACACATTTATTTAGACCAATATTTTCCAGTTTGCTGTTTCTACTCCTTACTTTCTTATGCTAACTTTTTATTCTTCACCCAAAGAATAAAATTATTTTATTACTAAATTTATTTTCAGGTGGATTAATGGTC